ACACACACACACACACATATATATATATATGTGTGTGTGTGTGTGTGTTCTAATTTTATAGCATAAAACAAATTGTACTCAACAAAACAAACTTCATCCAATACCAAAGCACTTTTTCTCAAAGTTCTGTTGAAGATCTTAGAGATTTCTTCAAGTTTTTTGTTTGTTTGTTTGTTTTTGGAGAGGTTTTTGTTATAGGGTGCGTGCACTTGCCAGAAAGAGAGAGACAGAGAGATAGAAAGTGAGAAATCACCCCCCATGGGGGACGGACATGCCGCAATCCCTTCTCCTCCATTCTCCTCTCAGGATCTTGAGCATTCATGCACATGCACCCGGTGTGAGCCACTGGGTCCGGGACTTGAACCACGGTCAGCTACATGGGAGTCAAGCAACATAGCCATTACGCCAACTACTGGTCCCAATTTCTTCAAATTTTAATTCATAATGAAATTCCCTTTTCAGTGAGTTAGTAAAAGGTAAATTCTGGTTGTGGTTAAACATGAAAATTCATAATTTAATTTAATCTTTGGAAATTTAGTCTTACCAGTGCTTTTCTTTTCTAAAGCCATGCCTTGTCTTTACTTACCAAAATTCATATTAAAAATTACTTGTAAAATGTTTCAATATCTTGGATTCCAGAAATAATGACTAGATTTTAGACAAAACCCATTCAAATATTTTTTTTATCAGTGTCCTCAACAGGTTCTCCCTGGCTGCAAAGCCATGATCTTGTTTTGGCACCAGCAGGTCAGTAAGAGTGTCAGGAGAGATAGCACCAGAGAGGCCAGTGACCAATCCCAGCCACGTGTGACAGACACTAAGAGACGAGGGGTGTCCACATAATATAAAGATTTATAGGATGCATGATTCTAAAAATGATACTGCGTTTTATCAGCAGAGCCCATAACAAGAGGGGCCTTCCTTGCACCACATTTTCGATTTTTTCCTGCATTTCATGTTTTCTGTGAGGATACGAAGCCTGGCGTTTCCAAAGCCATTTTGAGGCCTTCAAACAATAAGCTTGAAGAGGAAAAAGTCAACACAATAAAGATGCAGAAGGAGAAAAATACACGGAGTCTGGTCTTGGTAATAACCTTGAGTTGCTGTACAACCTTGAACAGCTAAACTTAGACCTGGTGTTTTTGCTTAAGAAACAGGCTGGTAATTTGCTAATTATGTTCTAATGAATGCCAGATGCTTCCTTTAATTTCTTCATCCTAATCAATAATTTCAGCACATATGTAGCAAAAGAGTTATCGAGAACCACTGTCCTAATGACAAAGCCTTAAGACTCCTTTCCTTTTTTTCCTACTTTCTCCTTTCTAGGTTGAACTCAATCCGTATGTTATTGTAGCAGTTAGCCTAGTCTGTTGTGATGCTTAAATGGAATAATCTTTAGGTCTTCAAAATGTTACAGATAAAATAGCTCAATACAAACGTCAAAAGCAACCACCGCAAGGATCTGAGTGTTACTCATTGTGAGACAAGACCATCATGCAGGAAAGTTCTATAAGTGATTTGAAGTGTCAGGGACCACCTGAGCGAGAACTCAGCTCTCACTGGTGTTTTCTCCTTACCAGGCCTTCACGGATACAAACACACACATTTATATATTTTTTCAAATCCACATGACCTTTTAAAAATAGTTATGACTTCAGGGTACCCCATGATACTGAACAGAAACCAAGACTATGAACATTATGGCTGATTGGGAGTATGTGATGAGGTCCACGAATGAAGTGAGTTTAAATCACTTATTTTCATTAGTTCCTAATCATACTAAAGAGGACCGTATTAAAACGTATAATATCCTCAGTAAATTAATCTTCACTTAGAAAATCTGATTGTTCCACATAAAATAGAGCATTTAGAACTTTCATTTAAAAATACAAATCTTACAAAAATTTGAAGAATTTTTAGAATGGGAATTATAAAAGTCAGTGCTGAAGAATGCTACTTTCAGATAAAACGATCCTTAAAATATTCTGAAAAATAATCTTTATTCTGAAAAGAACATCAGGGAAGAATACCTGAGCTCCTCGAAAACTACCAGTTCTAGTTTTTAATCGCTGTTGGGGTACCTTTCACCAGGCCCTCCGTGAGTTGCCTTCATGGCACTTCATGGTCTGTAGGTCTTAGCTACCCCCCATTTCATGGGGGAGGGAAGCCAAGGCTCAGAAGTCTCCTCCAGTGACCAGCACGGTTGGGAGCTGATGGTCTCTGCTTCTTCCAATGTGAGACCTCTCTGCACCTCGAAGTGTCACCCTCTAGTGATAGTTCCTCGATAGTTTAATTCCTGAGAATGTGTGGATATTTGGTCCTCTTTATGCCTCATGTAAAAATAAATAAATAAATAAATCCCATTTTTTTCCTTTAGGGGGAGGGAAGGAAAACGTGGGTCTCAGCCATGCGCAGTAACGTCTGAAGCAGCAGCTCAGTCCTCGAGGGAAATCACCGCGAGTTGTGAGATGTACACAGTGCCAAGGAGCACGAGTTCTGAAGCACGCTGCTAGCCTTAACTACTTCATTGACATTCAAATTATAACAATAACAGAACCTTGGAAAGTTGCTGAACTTTCCTGCAGCTCGATTCCCTCCAAGTAAAATGCAGACTGGGGTAACAGCTGGGGCGGAGAGTTCTGGTGCTTGTCATCAGGAGGGGTAGTGGGTACAAGTGCTCAGGGGCACCCAGGGGAAGTGAAGGCTGTGGAAACACTGCGCGTATTATCGCTACTATCAGAAACCTAATTAAACTAGACATATTTTCATGACTGTTAGCATCACAGTGTCTTAAGGTTAGGGATGCCATAACTTTATTTAGCAAAAGGAAGGGGCTGAGACCTACGAGGGAAAGTAAATAAACACAGACTCTGTCCTCAAAGAATTTATAGGCTAACGAATGAAAGAAGCACTTAATCACGACATGAGCATAAGGACCAAGGGCTAGGAAAGCTCAGAGGAAGAGTACTCCAGGTGAAGGAAAAGGGAGCGATGTCCTCCTGTAATCAAGTCTCAAAGTGTGAATGTTCTTGTGAAGGGGAAAACAGATGGCTTTCTTTATTATTATTATTATTATTTGTACATTAAATTGATAGACATCATTTAGATTGTGAGGAGACTTTACCCTGCATGATTTACACCTCAGTCCAGCCCAGTTGAGACTATTATACATATTCTTGTCAACAGATAATAAACCTTATCTGTGTCCCACAAGTGTCTTACCTCTCCATTTTCCCCCCAAATTTCCTTTTCTACTCTCTTCCTCTCCCACACCCTTTCCACTTTGTCCCTAGTGTCCATTATAATTTTTAATATTTTTATGTTCTCCAGTCTTTCAGTCTCTACCACAGAGTGCGGACAGCCAGTATATGTTAAGTGGAGACATACAATGTTTCTCTTTCATAACCTGACTTGCTTCACTCAGCAACAAATCTTCCATATTCGTCCACTTTCTATCAAATTCCAGGGCCTTGTTTTTTATGGTTGAATAGTATTCCATGGAGTATATGTGGCACAATTTTTCAATCCATTCATCAGTTTGTGGACATTTGGGTTGGTTCCATGTATTAGCAATTATGAATAAGGCTGCAGTTAAAATAGTTGTGCAAGCGCTTTTCCGACTGAGTGCTCTCCCGTCCTTTGGGTAGATACCCAGGAGTAGTATTGCTGGATCATATGGTAGTTCTATCTGAAGGTCTTTGAGAAACCTCCACATTGCTCTCCACAGTGGCTGGACCAATTTACATTCCCACTAACAGTATAGGAGTGTTCCCCTTTGACCATATTCCCTGCAACACTTATCACTATTTGTTGTTTTAATCTTCTCCAGGTGGAATCTCATTGCAGTTTTGATCTGCATCTCCCTTACAATGAGGATGTTGAGAACTTTTTCATATGCTTTTTGGCTGTTCATATGTCTTCCTTAGAGAGTTGTTTATTCAGCTCATTTTCCCATCCTTTAATTGGGTTAATC